TCCAATCAAAAGATATAGGGCAATTGAACTAATAAAATAAAAAAGACCCATCTATAGGCTGCCTAGAAAAAAGAGTAACATGAAATAGAAAGATACACGCAGACTGAAGGTGAACAAATGTAAAGTATTCCATGCAAATAGAAATGAAAGGAAAGCTGGACCACCAATATTCACATCAAACAAAATAGACTTTAAAACAAATAATGTAAAACAAGACAAATAAGGACAGTACATAATGATAATGGGTCAATCAAAAACAGAATATAATAATTGTAAATATTTATGCACCCAACAGAAAATGTTCAAAGTATATAAAGTATATATTAATGTATATAAAAGGAAAAATTAATAGTAACACAATAATAGTAGAGGACTTTAATACCACACCTCAATGAACAGATTATCCAGACAAAAAAATTAATAAGGAAATAATGGCCTTAAATGTCATTAAGACATTTAATAGACATTTGTATACCATTTCATCCAAAACTGCAGAATACACATTTTTCTCAAGTGCATATGCAACATTCTCTTGGATAGACCATATATTAGGACACAAAACAAGCCTCAATAAATTCAAGGAGATTAAAATTATATCAAGCATTTTTTTACCACAATGACATAAAATTATAAATCTACTACAGAAAAAAAAATAGAAAAAAAAAACACAAATACAGGAGAATAAACAATATTTTACTAAACCACCAATGGGACAAAGAAGAAATCAAACAGAAAGTCAAAAACTATCTTGAGACAAATGGAAATTAGAACACAACTTTCCAAAATAGATGAAGTGCAGCAAAACCACTCTTTTTTTCAAGAGGGAAGTTTATAGCTATATAAGCCTACCTCGAAAAAACAAAAAAAATTCCAAATAATCTAACTTTTCCAACTAATGGCAGTAGAAAAAGAATAACAAACAAAAACCAAAGTGAATAGAATGAAAGCAATAATAAAGATCAGAGTAGAAATAAATGAAATGGAGACTAAAAATAGGGGGGAAAATCAATGAAATTAAGAGCTGGTTCTCTAAAAGGATAAATAAAATGTACAAACCTCTAGCCAGGATCATAAAAAAGATAGAGAACCCAATAAATAAAATCAGAAATAAAAAAGGAGATACTTCAACTGACACCACAAAAATATAAAGGATCATTAAAGAACACTATGAACCAATACATGCCAACAAACTGGACAACCTAGAAGAAATGGATAAATTTCTAGAAACATATAACCTTCAAAAACTGAACTAGGAAGAAACGGACTTTCTGAACAGACCAATTGCTAGCAATTATATTGAAGCAGAAAAAAAAAACCCTCCCAAAACACAAAGCTCAGGACCAAAAGGCATCACAAGTGCCTTCTACCAAACATTTAAAGAAGAATTAGTAACAACCATTCTAAAACTATTTGAAAAAAAAATAGAGGGAAAACTTCCAAACTTACTTTAGGAAGCCTGAGTTACCCTGATACCAAAACTAGACAAGGATGAAAAAATATTATAGGCACTATCCCTGATTATCATAATTGCAAAAACCTTCAACAAAATATTAGCTGACTGAATTAAATAGTACATCGCTTCTCAGCCTTTTGGCTAAGATCAAGTGAATTAAATAGTACAAAAAAAGTATCATACACCAGGATTGAGTGGGATTGTTCCAGGTATGCAAGGATGGTTCAGTATCTGAAAACAAGAAAGTGATAATCTGTATCAACAAAATTAAGAATATCATATAATCACCTCAATGTATGCAGTAAAAGCATTAGAGAAAATTCAACATTTATTAAGATAACTCTCAACTGGGTAGAGAAGGAACATTCCTCAACATAGTATAAGCCTTATATGACAACAGCTTATAGGTCAACAGCTGATATCATACTTAAAAGCGAAAAAGTAAAAGCTTTTCCTTTGAAATCAGGAACAAGACTAGGATGCCTACTCTCACTAACATTATTCAACATAGAATTAAAGACTAGGATGCCCAGTGTTATTCACCATAGTATTAGAAGTCCTAGTCAGAGCAATTAGGCAAGAAAAAGAAATGAACAGCATATATTTATTTGAATTAACACCTTTATCATGATATAATGATCTTCTTTGTTTCTTTTTTCTTTTGTTTTTTTGAAAAAAATTATTTTAATTGTTGTTAAAGTACAGTTTTTTTGTCTTTTACCCCATCCAAGCCCACAGTGCTCCCCACCTCCCTCCCACTTCCACCCCCCTTAGTTTTTGTCCATGTGTCCTTTATACTTGTTCCTGCAAACCCTTCCCCTTTTCCCCTAAAATTCCCTCCCCACCCCCTCCCCTCCCCTTGGTCACTGTCAGCCTGTTCTCTTTTCTAAGTTTTTTAAAATATATATATCTTATTAATTATGCCATTACAGTTCTTCTATTCCCCCTTCATTCCCTTCCACCCTGCACACACCCCCACCATTCCCCCCTTTAGTTTATGATCACATGTCTTAAGTTCTTTAGATTCTATATTTCCCATACTATTCTTGCCTTCCCCCCCTATCTATTTTCTACCTACCATCTATGCTACTTATCTTCTGTACCTTCTCCCCCCTTCTCCTCCTCCCACTCCCCTGTTGCTAACCCTCCATGTGATCTTCATTTCTATGGTTCTGCTCCTCATCTAGCTGTCCTCTTAGTTTGCTTTTGTTTTAGGTGTGGTTGTTAATAACTGTGAGTTTGCTGTCCTTTCACTGTTCATCCTCTTCTTTTTCTTAGGTAAGTCACTTAACATTTCATATAATAAGGGCTTGGTGATGATGAACTCCTTGAATTTGATCTTACCTGAGAAGCACTTTATCTGCCCTTCCATTCTAAATGAAAGCTTTGCTGGATAGAGCAATCTTGGATGTAGGTCTTTGGATTTCATGACTTAGAATACCTCTTTCCAGCCCCTTCTTGCCTGTGAGGTCTCTTTTGAGAAATCAGCTGACAGTCTGATGGGAACTCCTTTGTAGGTGACTGTCCCCTTATCTCTTGCTGCTTCTAGGATTCTCTCCTTCATTTTAATCTTGGCTAATGTAATGATGATGTGCCTTGGTGTGTTCCTTCTTGGGTCCAACTTCTGTGGGACTCTCTGAGCTTCCTGGATTTCCTGGAAGTCTAATTCCTTTGCCAGATTGGGGAAATTCTCCTTTATTATTTGTTCAAATAAGCCTTCACTCATGGCTGTTCCTCTTCCCCTTCTGGTACCCCTATAATTCTAATGTTGGAACGTTTAAAGATGTCCTGAAGGTTCCTAAGCCTCTCCTCATTTTTTTGAATTCTTGTTTCTTCATATTTTTCTGTTTGGTCATTTTTTCCTCCTTCTGGTCCACTCCTTTGACTTGAGTCCCAGTTTCCTTTCCATTACTATTGGTTTCCTGTGCATTTCCATTCATTTCAATTAGTTTAGCCTTCATATGTTCCTCTAATTTGTGACAAAAATCAACCAGTTCTGTGAGCATCCTGATCACCAGTGTTTTGAACTGTGCATCTGAAAGTTTAGCTATTTCTTCATCACTTAGATTTATCGGCTCTGGGGCTCTGAGTTCTTCTTGAGCCATGTTTTGATTTGTTTGTGCCTGTTATATATGAGGAGTAGAGCCTTAGTTGTTCACCAGGGCGGAGCCACCCAGGTGACTGGTTTGTGATGCTGTATGTGGGGGCGGGGTCAGAGAGGGACAATGGCAGTTCCCTCTGCAGGTTGCTGCTGCTGGGGCCTGTGTGGTCTAGCTCCTTCACCGGTTTATCTGCACGCAAATGTGTGACCATGCCCTCAGTGGGTCTACCGCCTTGCGCCCTCAGTGAGTCCGCCCACTACTCCACACCTGGGATCCGTCCACGGCTGCTGGCGCACCTGGGTCATGCACCCTGGTCAGTCTGGTGGATCTTTCCTGCCCAACCCCGCTCTGATGCTGGCTCTGCCCCTCTCACCAGTTTGGCTGAAGGGTTCATTGTCAGACTTCCGTGTGGTTCAATTTTCTGTGGTTTGGGTGCATTTTTGTTGCTATAACTTTGTTGTTTTTAAACTTAGTTGTGCAAGAAGGCGCAGTGTTTCCACCTACGCCTCCATCTTGGCGGAAGTCCTCTTCTTTGTTTCTTATTACAGTCTGTTTTAAAGTAAGTTTTGTCTGATATAAGTATAGTCACCCTAGATTTCTTTTGATTTCCATTTTCATGGAAGGAATATCTTATTCCATACCTTCACACTCAGTCGGTGTGCATCCTTACTTCTGAAGTTAGTTTCTTGCAGGTAGCATATAGGTGGGTCTTGATTTTTATCCATTTAGCTACTTGGTCTTTTGATTAAAGATTTTATTCCATTTATATTTAAAGTAATTATTGCCAGCTATATACTAATTGCCATTTTATTCATTGCTTCCTGCTGTTTTGTAATTCTACTCACTTCTTGTTCTCTTATGCTCTTCCTTTGAGATTTAATGATTTTTTTGTAATGGTATGCTTAGATTCCTTTAATCTAATCTTTTGTGTATATACTATAGGTTTTGGCCTTGTGGTTACCATGGGCTTACATAAAACAATTTATATTTGTAATAATCTATTTTAAGATGAAAACAAATTAAGTTTGATCATATTATAAGACTCTACATTTTTACTCCATCTGCACATTTTATGTTTTTGGTGTTACAATTAATATCTTTTTATCTTGTGTATCCCTTAACAAATTATTGTAGCTATAATTATCTTTACTACTTTGGTCTTTAAACCTTTATAAATAGCTCTGTCAGTGGTTAAACCCCCATACCCCATCTTTACAACATTAGATTAGTCTGGGTATATGTATATCCAGACTAATTGGATATATTATAAGGCCAGTCCACTGGTGATGATCTCCTTTAGCTTTTGCTTTCTCAAAAACTTTTTTTTCCTAACCTCCTACTGTCTTCCCTTTGGAATAGTAAGAAATGAATAAAAATTCCCCAAATAAAGCTACATAATTATCTCAGATTTTTGTTTTCTAAGAATACTGACGTATAATTCTTACATGAATAGATATGCAATGTCGTGAGGTCTCAGGGTAAGATACGATTTTTTCCATTCTAAAAATTTATGCAATAATTCATCTTCCTCACCAACTGTAGAAATCTTATTTTTATCTGACCACAACTCCAGTGATGACAGCACAATAGTAACTTTAAGTTGGGCAAATGCCTAAAAACAAAAGAGGTAATACATAAAAAATAACCTTTGTGTTATTTCACATGGCCAAGAAATGAACTCAATGTTTTGACAAATGCATGCTTAGTTTGCGTGTATGACGTAATTATTCAGAAACACCTGAACAGACAACTCATGAGTATGGACAATGGGGGAGGGACTGACTGGAAGTGAGTGGGGGCAGGGCAGGGGAGAGCAACAGGGAAAAGGCAGGACAACTGTAACTGAACAACAATAACAAAAGAAGTTTAATAGTAGATATAAGCATAAATAATAAATGTTGTATTTCTCCGAAAAAAAGAAATGCCACATCAAGATAAAAGAATTTATAATTTTAAAACTTGTATGAACTTTTCTAACTAGTATGAAAAGAAAACTACTTACTGAATTTACAAGGCCAATAATTCCGATGACTTTATTTGTCACTATCATGCTATCAGAGCCCAAGAAATCATACTGAAAAACAGAATTTTTAATTTAAATACAAATTTGTAATGTAATATGTCTGAGATTTACTTTCCATCTGCTCTCAGAGATTTGAGGCTGCTTTGGGATTAGAACAGTTAAAAATAAGCTAGTAACAAATTTTTTTAAAGGATATAAATTTGATCACTCACACATATTGATGAGAATGCAAAATCATGCATTCACTCTGCAAAGTATTTTGGAATACAAATAATGAACTTATCACAGGACCCAGCAATTGTACTTCTGAGCATTTATCCCAAAGAAACAAAATCTGATAGTCACCAAAATAACCTGCACTTAAGTATTTATAACAGTTTTATTCATAAAAGCCAAAAACTAAAAACAACTCATATATCTTTCAATGGTTAACTGAACACACTGTGATACATACATACCATGGAATACTACTCAGTAATAAAAAAAAAAACCTGAAATTTCGATATGTGGAAAATATAGGATAAATCTCAGGAAAATTATGCTGAATATTAAAAAATCTCAAAAGGATCCCTACTGGATGATAACATTTATGCCATATTGCTGAAATCAATGAGAACAGATTAGTGATTGTCAGGGGTTAGTGAGTACAGGCAGTGGGGCGAGATGGGTGTTATTATAAAAGGAAAATATAAGAGCATCTTGTGGTCATGGTACCATTGAGTATCTTGACTGGGGTGGTATTTATTTAGTGTTATATTTGTGATAGTGTCACATAAAACTACACATACACAAACAAGTGTAACTACAATCGTTGGAATCTAAATAGAATCTATGGAGGTACCAATGTCATTTCCCATATCCATAAATCATACCTCTGAAATACACTACCTGTTTGATGTCCCACATGACCCTCCAATTAAACATATCCAAACTAAATTCATCCTTCGTCTTCAAAAGTCTGCTCCTACTTACTCTTCCAGTTCCACAGTGAATGTTGGAATCATTTTTGACCTCCCACATGTATAATACTACATGTTCCATGAGAGCAGAACTTTTCTGTTGTGCTCACTGCTGTATACCCAATAACTAAAATCATAACTGGCATCTAGATCACACTCAAAAAATTTACTAAGTGAATAAACAAGCCTAATCAATTTAACTGGTCCTTGTAATTCAACCTCATCGGTAACTTTTTAAATTGTCTTTTTCTTTCTAGTCTTAATACTTTTAATCTGTGAATTGTCACCTTGATTTTTGAAATAATCTCTTAAATAGTTTCTCCCTCTCCGATTTTCTCACCAGAAATCCAATCACTACACCATTTTTTAAATGGTGATTCTAAAATGAAAGCATGAACATTTCACTCCCCTGCTTAAAATCTTCTGACTCTCTACTACCTTTAGAACAAAACCTAAATATCATGTCAATTCTCCAACTCATCTCTTTCCATTTCCCTTCTTCAATGCTTTGTAACAATTACACTAAACTTCTTGCAGTCTTCTGAAAAGAACCTTCTGTCATATTTATGTGCTATTGCACAAAGTCTTCCCTGGCCCCAGATGAACCAATCTGAACTCCAAACTTTTACCAGATTCTTACACTCCAAGCCATTATTCCCCTGCCCTAACCCCAGAGCCAGGTCCCACACAAGTAGAGTCAGCCCCTACACCCCAGAATCCACTAAAATTATTCCAAGTAGCCAATTTTAAATTTGGTTATCTTGCCTCACCAGTTCTTTCCCAAAGAACCCACAATCAAGGCTCCCATACATCTTCCCAACAGCAATCAAGCCACACCTGGATAATAATAACACCTACATTTTAAAACAGCTACTTGCGTGCTCTGAGAGCACCTCAGGCTACAGCGGTGTCTCTCCCTGTCTTTCTCCACATGGAACTGTGTTTTCTAGTATCACATGCTTCCCTCCATCATGGCACTGAGTTCCTGAGGCTACAGCTGTGAAGTCACCAAGGACAACATCATCACTGCCCTGTTTTTTATGCCCCACATCTAGTAACACAGTTGTCATCACTGGCTCCATGTTTATTAAAGAATATGTAAATATGTATGAGAATGTAGAAAAGTGGTGTTTAATCCACATTATATGACTGACAAACTTGGCAATTTGGACAGAGGAAGCTTTCAAAACAGCTCTCAAAACCTATCACATAATCCTGAAACAAAATGATTTCCATAATCCAAAGTATTACTTGGAAATTTAGTCATTTTTACTGAAAGCATCTTAATTTCCTCTTAAATGTTCACTTTGCCCTTTTCCCTACACCCTAATAAATCAAGTACTATCATGTCCTTCTCCAAATCTCACCTCACTTTGACCTTCAATTCTGGCTTCCTGGCAAACTCTACAACCCTACAAGTAAAACTGGTAGTGAGTATAACTTATGTTCTCTGTCATATCCACAGGTATGACAATCCAATGTTTTTAATGAGAACAAAACCTATAAAGTATATTTTTATTCTTATTTTCTAAAATGTTCAAAATAGTGAGGAAACAAGACAACTGATTGAGTGCAAACTAAGTTAACACCCAAGGTCCGAAGTTCAGAGGTCCTCGAACTGTTTATGGGAATCAGGGATCTCAGCAGAGGTGCATTTAGACCAGATAAACAATAGAACGGAACAGACATGCCAATGAAAACTGTTAAAAAATTGAAATATTAATGTAAGCAGTTCCCATAAATAACTATACTATCACCATTTTTGGGCCAATAATTATTTTATAGGGCAAAACATTCTCCAGACAACACACTGCTCTTCAAGTGCAAACAAAAATTAAAAGCTTAAAGAACATCGCATAAAGCAAACATCACCATAAAAAATAATGTGGATTAACAGAGGCCCCAGGTAAGTGGAACCTAATCAACAAAACAAACGAGGGAGCAAAACAGAACCGGAGACATGGAAATAAAGAACAAACTGACAGTGACCAGAGGGAAGGGGGAGGGGCCGACAGGGAAAAGAAGGGGAAGGGTCATCAAGGAAAATGTATAAAGGACCCGGGGACAAAGACAACAGGGTGGGGGGAGGACTGAATGTGGGAGGTGGGGATGGGTAGGGTGGGGGAGAGGAAAGGGGGGGAAATGGGGACAACTGTAATTGAATAAAAACAATTTTTAAGATTTCACATAAAACACTTCTGATACAACTAGTATAATTTTGAATATGTGTTTTGTCAGTTTGCAAATGTTTCCATTGTTCAGTGTACAACATACAAGTAAGAAGATTAGAATCTTTAAGTCACTATCTAGCTAAGGTTAATCATATATTAATACCAAATATGTAGAAGTAAAGAAAAATACATACCAAAACTTTGTCCACCACAATATGCATTTCTAGATAAAGAGGAATTAGGTCTGAAACATCTGTTTCTACCTAAAAAGAAGAAAAACAGTATTTAAAAACATAAAATCTTTCATAACTTATTTATTCTGAACTTTTAAAGTCTTTTTTCCATTTTGGGGTGGGCATGGTTGATAAATACATATATATAAGTATATATATCAATTTAAACATACCTTAAATATGTATATTGATGGTATAAGACTTGATTTGTATAAATTGTGAAATAATTGGCAAAATAAAGCTGATGACCATATCTACCTCATATAGTTAACATTGTCTGTCTTTGTGTGTGTGGTGAGATCCACACGTAAGATCAACCCTGTTAGCATATATCAAGTTCCCAATATAGTATTGTTAGCTATAGTCACATTACTGTACATCAAACCCCCAGAAATTACTTTTTCTGCATAACAGAAACTGTGTACCCTTTGATCAACATTTCCTCGCTTTTCCTTGTCCCCCCACCTCTGGCAAATAACATTCTACTCTCCACATCTATGAGTTTGACTGTTTCAGATCCCACATATGAGATCACACAGTATTTATCTTTCCATTCCTGGCTTATTTCACTTAGTATAACATTTCCAACATTTATTCATGTTGTCACAAGCGACAGGACTTCCTTCATTTTTAACACTGAGTAATATTCTTGTGTGTGTCTGTGAGTGCCACACTCTTTATCCTTCATCCATCAATGGGTACTTAAGTTATTTCCATATCATGGCTTTTCTGAATAAAGTTGGCAATGAACATGGGAGGGCAGATATCTCTTCAAGATACCTACTTGTTTCCTAGGATATATACCCAGAAGTAGCATTGGTGAACCATATAATAGGTCTAGTTTTAATTTTCCAAGTAATCTCCATCCTGTTTTCCATAGTACCTGTACCAACTTACATTCCCACCAACAAGGGTTCCTCTTCTCCACATTCACAACACTTATTATTTCTTGTCCTTTTTTATAATAGCCATTCTAACAGCTGAGAGGTGATGTCTCATCGTGGTTTTGATTTACATTTTTCTGACAAGTGGTTCTGAGCTGTATGTAGTGATGGGTGGTAACTAGGTTTATTGCAGTGATCATTTCATAATATATGCATATGTCAAATCTCTATGTTGTAGGCTTTAACTAACAAACTTGTGTGCCAATTACATGTCAATAAACAACTGAAATAAAACAGTTGTAAATATAAATACGTTTTAAGAGTTCCAGATTCTAGACACTGAAAGCAGAAGCACAAAGACAGAGTATCCCACCCTCCATACCTATATCCACAAAAATACCATAAAGAAAGGTCTGAGGGAACCCGGGCAGCGCACTAACACTGCCCACCATGGTTTGGGTAACCTAAGTCATTGTAAATTACCCTCCTAAATTCTCAGACAAGAAAGAGAAATTTTAGTATTTAGTTAACAAAATTTCATGTTTAATTATACACATATATGTGATAGCACTGAATTCTTTGGTGCTGCATCTTCATTTCACCATACATTTGATTCCTGTATTATTTTGGACATAGGATTAGATGCTATAACAGAGACACAAAAATAGTAGTGGGTTAAACAATATTGGAATTTTTTATCTCTCAAAAAAGTCTGATTAGTAGTATTCTATTGTGCAAATGTACTATAATTCTTTGATCCACTCATTTACTGATGGGCAGGTGGGGGTGAGTGGGGCAGGGGAGAGTGGGGGGGAATGGAGACAATTGTACTTGAATAACAATTTTTAAAAGTCTGAAAATGGTGGTTTTGTCTTCTAAATTCTTCAGGAACAAGGCTCATTCTATCTTGTTGCTCTGCCACTTGTTGGTACCATTATTATCCTGTGGACTACATGATGCACCAACATGTCCACAATGCAGTCAGAAGGAAAGGGAAAACTAGAATTAGACTATAAACCCCCCTCCTCTATAATTCAATCCTGACATAACATGTATTACGTCTGCTTACATGGCATTAGCCCTAACTTTATCGCATGGCCCCACTTAAATGCAAGGGAAGTTGAGAAATGTAGTCTTTTTTTACATGCCCAGAGAAACTCTTAGGGGTTTGTTATTTAAAATGAGAAGAATGTATACTGTAAACAACTAACAAAGCCATATATCTCTTAAATACACTATGCATATTTCTGCAACTTTTACTTGGCACAAAATTACTATCGCACTCAATTTCTATTATGAAGACCAAAACATGCAGTTATACATGGTATACACTGAACAATTTACATGGCTACATGTGACAATCCTGCTTATGACATTTTAATTATATCTGTAATTAACGCTAACTTCTTGGTTATGGGTGCAACTTTTATAAATATTGGCTTTAATGAATACATTTCAGGAATATAGAGACAAAAACAGGAACTGAATTTTTAAAGTTTGTATTGCTATACACTAGTTAATTTTTAGAAAGTTATAAATAACAAACAAAATAAGAATTAAAATAAAAGTAAAAGATTGTTGCAAACAGGAAAAGGAGGTATGGGCAAAGGACATCATAAGGTTAAAAAAAGGTGAGGATGTTCTTAGGGATATTGAGCAAAAGAAAAAGAGAGAGAAAAGGACTCATGGACACGGACAACAACATGGTCATTACCAAGTGGAGGGGCAGTGGGGAGATAAATCATGATGGACAGAGGCTTAACTTGTGGTGATGAACATACAAGACAGTGTACAGATGCTGTGCTGTAGAAATGTGCACCTGAAACCTGTATAATCTTGTTAACCACTGTCACCCCAATAAATTCAATAAAAAGGGAAAAAAGAAAATATGAGCTACAGTTATACAATAGTTAATCAATTTCTTTTTTAAATAAAAGAAGAAACTATCTTGAAAGTAGTAAAAAAGCATATATGACTAACTTTTTCACTTATGAAAATGTTATAGTCCATTGGGTTTTGTCCTATGTCACGGTTATTTTCAGTATGAACTGCAAATTTAATGTTTTCATTCCTTAATTTATAAAGAATGTGCTGAAATTCAGCTTCAGTTTCCAGAGGCTCGATTCCATAAGAAACATTTTCAAATTGCAGTATTCCTCTGTAAAGTTAAGAATAAAAAAATTAAGTGCTTTTAGTCCATTTTTAAAAATTCTTACAGAATCTAAAAAGAAAAAAGGAGAAAACACAGAACATGTTTAAGCTCAATATTTTGACCCAAATTCTTTATATTTTGAAGATGATTCTGAAGAGATAAAAGATCTCCCCCAATCGAAAAAATTTCCCATTTCATTTCTGCAGTTATAAAAGCAATTACGTGATCAGTGCTAGTACAGTGAATAGCATTCACAGTGATCAAGTAATTCCATCCAGTCCTCAAATCAGTGGCTAATGAAAGCACTATAGAAATTGGGTTTGCACTGCTTTATGAAAAGATAATAAAAGGTTATATAGTGAGCAATTTCATTACAAAAATATTTAGCAATTATTATGAAAAGACATGTATTGATAGTTTATGCACACAGTTCTGAATAAGAAATTTAAAACATGACTTTAAAGAGTAAAATAACTTTTTAAACTATTCTTCCCTGAATCAGGTAACAATAGTTCAAGTAACTACTCCCTAAAAACCAAATTTTAGATGTCCATGTAAAAGCACTGAGGAACACTGTGTGTGTGTGTGTGTGTGTGTGTGTGTGTGTGTGTGTGTAACAAGGATCAATGCTACAAAATGAGAGTGAAAACTTTCCTGACATAAGAGAAAACTCTCTCAGTACTAAGGAGGAAACCATAGAGATTTTCAGATACTGGAATCATTAGAAAAATGAGTATCATATTAATAATTATTTATTTATGTAGAATCTATTTCCTCTCTCTGAAGACGATTTTCCTTGAGAAAAAGCATGCCTTATTTGTCTTTATTTTATCTTATATTTCTAAACACTAGGCTAGAAGCTGGTACATTGTCAGTATTGAAAACATTCTATGTGCTGGAAAAATAAGCCAGCTTAAATTTAACTCCTCAAACGTGCTGTAGTCACGATGTTTGTCATTTCTGTAGTTAAGAAAAGACAAGATATAGAGGAAGGACACCAGAAAATCTAAACCTTTACAGAAAGAAATTTGGTCAGTGAGGAAAGTGAGGAGAAGTAAAAGAAATGGCAGAGAGTATAACTGAACAATCTCCACATGGGAATTTTCCTCCAATTTCACACTTGGTATCAACAAAAGAAACTTGACACAGCCAAACATCATAAGTATGATGTTCACATATCAACAGTAGAAACGACATAACCTCAGTCCCAAGCACGTGCTTAGTGTGACAATAGAATTTGGATATCCTTCGACAGATCCTTGGTAGTAGCATTGAGTCTAGGAAAGAAAAATGTGATCTGGTTACTTAGAAATTGACAAAACTTTCAACTGATTTCTTACTTGATAGGATTTTTAAATATTGTTCCAGACTACAGAGTTCATATCAGCATGAATAAAGCAACATTAAGAAAGCAGTCTCCCCACACTTGCCACTTTCATTATACTAACTACTCTTATCAGATTAATATTTGGGATTGTTATTTTACACCCTGCTTCCAAAGTGAATCCCATATTTTTAATATTTTATTGATTATACTATTACAGTTGTCCCATTTTCTGCCTTTTATTTCCCCTCCACCCTGTGTACCGCCTCTCACCCACATTCCACCCCCTCCCTGTTAGTTCATGTCCATGGGTCATACATGTAAGCTCTTTGGCTTCTACATTTCCTATACTATTCTTAACCTACCCCTGTCTATCTTCTACCTAACATTTATGCTACTTATTCTTTGTACCTTTTCCCCCTCTCGTCCCACTCACTCCCCCACTGATAACCCTCCATGTGATCTCTATTTCTGTGGTTCTATTCCTGTTCTAGTTTTTCACTTTGTTTTTGTTTTAGATTCGGTTGTTAATGATTGTGAGTTCGTTGTTATTTTACTGTTCATATTTTTTATCCTCTTTTTGTTAGATAAGTCCCTTTAACACTTCATATAATAATGGCCTGGTGATGATGAACTCCTTTAATGTGACTTTATCTGGGAAGCACTTTATCTGCCCTTCCATTCTAAATGAAAGCTTTGCTGGAACAGAGTAATCTTGGATGTAGGCCCTTGCCTTTCATGACTTGGAATACTTCTTTCCAGCCCCTTCTTGTCTGCAAGGTCTCTTTTGAGAAATCAGCTGACAGTCTTATGGGAACTCCTTTGTAGGTAACTGTCTCCTTTTCTCTGGCTGCTTTTAAGATTCTCTCCCTATCTTTAATCTTGGGTAATGTAATTATGATGTGCCTTGGTGTGTTCCTCCTTGGGTCCAACTTCTTTGGGACTCTCTGAGCTTCCTGGACTTCCTGGAAGTATATTTCCTTTGCCAGATTGGGGGAGTTCTCCTTTATTATTTGTTCAAATAACTTTTCCACTTGTTGCTCTTCCTCTTCTCCTTCTAGTACCCCTATAATTCAGATGTTGGAACATTTCAAGATGTCCTGGAAGTTCTTAAGCCTCTTCTCATTTTTTTGAATTCTTGTTTATTCATTCTGTTCTTTTACATTGGTTAAATGTTTCTTTCTTCCTTCTGGTCCACACCATTAATTTAAGTCCCAGTTTCCTTCCTGTCACTGTTGGTTCTCTGTACATTTTCCTTTATTTCACTTAGCATAGCCTTCATTTTTTCATCTAATTTGCAACCAGACTTAACCAATTCTGTGAGCATCCTGATTACCAATGTTTCGAACTATGCATCTGGTAGATTGGCTATCTCTTCATTGTTTAGTTGTATTTTTTCTGGAGTTTTGATCTGTTTTTTTCACGGGGGCCATTTATTTTGTCTGTTATGTACACCTGTTATGTAGTGAGGGACAGAGCCTTAGGTGTTCACCAGCGTGAGGCAACCCATGTCACTGTGTTGTGGCACTGTATGTAGGGAAGGGGTCTGAGAGGGAACAATAGCACTTGCTCTACTCTATACCAGATTTCAGTCACTTTCTGAGCTTCCCATAATCAAATTGGGCCCTTCTGGTGCTGATTCCCAGGTGGGTGGGTTGATGTACATTCTAGGACCCTATGGGTCTCTCCAAGGAACTCTCCTGTGAAGCTGGGAGTTTCTCCCGCTGCCGCTGCAACTCTCACAGATATTTTCAATCAGAGGTATTGAGGCTTTATTTACCTGAACTGGAACCCTGGGCTGCACAGTCTGTCTCACTCCCCAGTTGTTCTTCCTTGTTTACCTACATGCAAATGTGGGGCTGCCCAGCCTGCCAGCTGCCACCTTGCCTCAAGTCCTCTCCACCCGGCCGCCTGTCTCCGCCCCTCCTACTGGTCTGGATGAATATTTCTTCTTTAAGTCTTTGGTTGTTGGACTTCCATTCAGTTCGATTTTCGGTCAGTTCTGGTTGTTTTTGTTTTTTAATTTGTTGTTGTCCTTCCTTTGGTTGTCTGAGGAGACACAGTGTGTCTACCTACACTTCCATCTTGGCCGGAAGTCAATCTCATATTTTTGATAAAATTATTTTCCCTTGTATAAATGTAGGTCATCAATTAAAAGACAAAGACTGTTTTGCTTAGCATGATAGTCTCCAGTTCCATCCATGCTGTCACAAAAGGGAGGAGTTCCTTCTTTATTTCTGCTGTGCAGTGTTCTATTCCATTGTGTAAATGTACCACAGTTTTTTTACCCATAATAAACAAAATAAACTAATGAACAAATAAAACCGCAGGCATGGAAACATGGAACAGACTGAAAGTGACCAGAGGGGAGGGGTAATGATGGAAACAACAGGAAGGGACCAGACAAAGAACATGAATGAATGACCCATGAACATGGACAACAGTGTGGGGACTGACTGTGGAAGCAGGGGATGGGATGGGCAGAGGAGAGCAAAGGGGGAAAAGCTGGGACAACTGTAACAGAACAACAATAAAAAATGATTTAAAAATAAATAAATAAACACTTCTGTCAGAAACTGACAAATCAAGCATTCAGAATCTGTATCAGATTTGAACAGTATGTTAATAACCTAATATAGATAGAACACTATACTTTAAAACTGTGGAATACACTTTCTTTTTTTAATTATCTATTTATTTTTATTGATTATGCCATTACAGTTGTTCTATTCCCCCCTTCATTCCCCTCCACCCTACCCCCCCATCCCCACCATTACCCCCCCTTTAGTTTATGACCATGTGTCTCAAGTTCTTTAGATTCTATATTTCCCATGCTATTCTTGCCCTCCCCCCTATCTATTTTCTATCTACTGTCTATGCTACTTATTTTCTGTACCTTCTCCCCCCTTCTCCTCCTCCCACTCCCCTGTTGCTAACCCTCCTTGAGATCTTCATTTCTATACTTTCTTTTTAAAGAACACGAAACATTTACAAAAATAAAACTATATTCTGGCCATGAAGCACAAGAATAAATTTTAAATTATTGAAATCATACAAAGTTCAGTCTCTGACCACAGTACAATTATGCTAGATATACAGTCTCCAAAATCCAGTAGTGCTATAACTTTTGATAGAAATCAGTGTAAGATTTGTTAACACACTACTCTATGTTGGAATTAGGGGAGTAAAAAAGTGAGAAAAAGAAATTGATGGTCCTAACCAATATAAATGAAGTAACCTGGTGCCCAATTTAATATTTCAATAATTTTTATTATATGCTAATTATGAGCCAGGCATTTTTCTATGCATTAGGTATACATCAGTGAACAAAATGGACCAAAAGCCTACCTGGTGAGAACCATATTGCACCAGAGAATCAAAAAATAGAGCAAGTGGATAAAATAAATGGCAGAAATTATATTTGTACCATTATGGGGAAAAACAAAACAGGTAAGAGAGTACTAGGTATAAAATGCAATTTACAATAGGGGTTAGTCAAGGACTAATATGCTTTTGAGCAAAGACCTGAAGAAAATGAAGGAGAAAAACATGTGGCATTTTGGGAAAGAATAAACACCTGGATCAGAAGCGATAGAAAGTACAAAATCCTTGAAAGGAAAATATGTCTGGTATGTCTGAAGAACAGCAAGAAGAAAAATGTGATTGGAACAGGTAAGTAAGGTGGAAAATAACAGGAAATGAGGTCAGACAGGTAAAGCAGACCAGAATGTGTAAAGGCTGTAGGATACTGAAATGATTTTGGTTTTCACTTTGTGACCGATAGGTGGTCATCCCATGGAGGGTTCTGACCAGAGAAGTGACATGGTCCAACTAAATTTTAATAGGATCGATCTGGTTGCTGTGTTGAGAATTGACTGAGAAGATGGGCCAGGCGTGGAAGCAGAAAGATTATTCAACAAGCTCTGGCAATAATCCAATTAAATACGATGTTTACTTGGAAAACAGAGGTGTCAGTGGATGGAGACAGAGGGAGAGGGTGGTTTATGGATATACAATACTGTAATTTAAAGGGTCGATTCATTACAATTTCTTCATGGATGGGATAGGGCAGCAATTCTCAACCTTTTTCATCTCATGGCACATAAACTAGTCACTAAAATTTTTGGTGCAGCACACCAAAAAAATATATATTTTTTGCTAATCTGACAAAAATAGGTATAATTTGATTCACACCAGATGGCTATCATTGTGTTGGCCATGGTCATTTTTTTTAATTTGACAGTCTAAGGAAAAAGGTCAGTGCCCATGACTAAATAACCAGGTAATGCATGTTGTAAAAATTCTTGCAGCACATCAGTTGAAAATCACTGGTGGAGTGGGATGGGAGGGGTGGGGAGAAAAGTTTTCAATCTATGATTTTATGTCCAGTAATATTTGTGTTTGCTTTTATTATGTTTTAATTTACACTCATTAATTCAACAAAAAATTAATTAAGAAAATGATATCTATATTCTTTAATTATTGTTTTTTTCAAGTACAGTTTTTTGTCTATTTCTCCCATCCCAGCCCCCCTCCCATGCTCCCCACCTCCCTCCCATTTCCTCCCACCAAGTCCTCATCCCTGTGTCTTTCATACTTGTTCCTCAAAATCCCTTCCCTTTTCCCCCCTTAAATTCCCTTTTCTCTCCCCTCTGGTCACTGCCCACTTGTTCTCTATTTCAGTGTCTTTGTTTTTATTCTATTTGCTTGTTTGTTTTGTTATTTAGCTTCCTGTTAAAGGTGAGATCATATGGTATTTGTCTTTCAACGCCTGGCCTATTTCACTCAGCATAATGCTTTCCAGTTCCATCCATGTTGTTGCAAAGGGTAGTAGCCCCTTCTTTCTCTCTGCTGCATAGAATTCCATTGTGTATATGTACCACAATTTTTTGATCCATTCATTTACTGATGGGCACCTAGGTTGCTTCCAACTCTTGGCTATTGTAAATTGTGCTGCTATGAACATTGTGGTGCATAGGTTCTTTGAAATTGATGTTTTAATGATATCTATATTCTAAGCAGAATAGGAGGTGCTAAGTCAATCCAATTTGTCTTTAGTTTACCAAGACTTCAGGAAAACCTAATAATGGGAGAAATTAGGTTTAAAAAAATGGATCCCTTAAATATATCTATCTTCTGTAAAGACAGTCTTCTGTAAAGAAAGCATTTATTCAATTTTTTTAAGTTTAAAAATTTTTCTAAAATATAGAACTTAAATCTTACCTGAATATTTGAAGAATGAGAATTTACAGATCCTTGATTATACAAATAAACCATAAAATTATCAGCTAAAAAAAGTCTGAATATAAAAAAAAGAGAGAGAATTTAAAAAGTCATTCTTTTTAAAACATAAATCAGAGGCCAGCAAGCTAACGGCCTCAGGCCAAATCTGACCTACTCTCTGTTTTTGTAAATAAAGTCTTATGGGAACATAGCCACAATCATTGACTTATGTGTATGGTCAGTGGCTGCTTTCCTGCTACAGCAGCGGAATTTAATCACTTTGACAGAGACTTATGGCCCCCGAAGCCAAAAATATTTACTATGTGGACTTCTAGAGAAAAGTTTGCCAACCTCTGATAAAGGTATTTTCTTTTGGTATATATGTAATTTTTATTCAAAGAAATACACATTTATTCAAAATACTTGTCCTATCTTAATGGACTCCTTTAAAGAAAATAAGAAAAAGAGACTACAAGATGTAGGATTATTCTTTCACTTCTAAATTTTATTACCATGCATACATATATTTTTTGTAATGAAGTAGAAGAGTATTGTGTAAAAGTCATATTAATCTGAACATAGGTACTAAAACCAGTTAAGTTCAACCTTCTCTGGTACCATCCTATTTCAGTTAGGCTTCCTCACCCCATGTCCACTCCTCAATCCAATGTAACAAAACTAGACCACCCAGACTAAGTTCTGTTGGGAATCCTCCACTGCAACTGATCTCATGTAGGTTAATTACCTAACAGCCCGTAGCTGTCAAACCCAAAAGGCAGTTGGAAGTCAAGTAAAACTACTCTAATGCACTTCATATTGTTGACCACATTCTCCTTCTTTAAATCATCTTATCTTCAACGTCAGTTGTACCATTTCCTCTTGGTTTTCCTCTCATCTTTCTTTCTTTTTTAAAATTTAATTTAATTTAATTTTTATTATTTTATTTATTTATTTTTATTTAATTATTTTTCAACTACAGTATTCCGTCTATCTTTCTACTTCTGTAAATCCCTTCATTGGATCCTTGCTTCCTCCCTTAAATGCTTCTTCCCTTTCCATGGCATTCATTTGTGGGTTGTTTTTTTTTTTCACTTTTAATATTTACCCTCACCTCTGTAGATTTATCGTGTCTATTTTTGGTGCTTCATTTATACCTACATAAAAAGATGCCTTTAAAAGCCACACCTCTCTTCCATGTTCTAAACTAAATCTACTTGCCAACTAGTCATTACTCCTGAGATATCCCACTAGCACTTGGTATGCACCCTCTCCAAAAACGAGCCCACACTCTCCTTGGCTCAGATCTGTCCCCCATCTCCTTCACTGCCACACTAAGTCTCTGCCACCCCTCCCTGTATCCAATCTGCTAGCTAATCTTTCTCCTGCCACTTCCGTATTTCTCCAAAAAAAAAATCACTACCTCTACACAATCGTAGTTCTGCTTCTCATTATTTCTCACACAAGTTATTTGCAATAACATAATTGGTATTATGCTGTCATAGGCATTATGCAGATAATTTCCCAAATTAATAGCATTTCATCTACACATGCTCTACCCATACCCCATGCTTCAGTCCCTCTCATTTTCCCTCTTAAACACTTGAACAGTTATTTGTGTTTTTGTTCACCACATTCTTCTTCCCTTCTGTCCACAGGAATAGGTTAACTCTTCTTTAATTCAACTCTTCTTTTACTCAATGCTTTCTTTGAAAGCATTCTCTTGCCCTCTCTTCTTTCTCTGCCCGAGGCTTTTGGTAAGTTATTTACGCTTACTATTTTTGGATTTCTCACAATTAGCCTCTCCTTAATTCCATGTAGTCTAGCTTTGCACCCAATATTTAACTGAAACTGTCCTCTTGAAAGTCACAAATTACTTCCAGCCAGATTTTCACAACTGGGTTCCCATTAGAAAATTAAATCTTATAAAAAGTAGTTATAGTTATTTTCTTAATTCTCTGAAAGATGATACGTAACTAGTACTGTTTTCCATAAATTATTCACTAGCTCCCACTCAGTGTATAATCTAATTTCTGTGTTAAAGATCTTATTAAATGTCCCTGATTGTGGGACACAATTGCCTCCCCGATCAAATTTTAACCAATACAATCCGTTACAGACTTAGTTCTTATTTTGATATTTTCACTTGATTATACAGAGTGAGACAAAAGTAGGTTTATAGTTGTTCATACATTTCTATGCTACACTGTAAGCCCACCTTTGCCCCACCCTATATAGGCCCTGCTGGTTCCCCCACATTAAGATTGTAGAGATTAACATTCAGGTGGTGAGTCCCTATTTTTTCTATTCCTAACCCCCCTATTCACAAAAGATCACTTGAGACATTAGGACCAAAAATTTAATTAGTTCACGGTCGAGCATCTGTTTATCTGTGACAACTAAAAGTTGTAATAACAACTACATTTATTATTTTAGCAGTCCATTTTAATTATAAGTAAACAAATTCATATAAATTAAATGAAATCCAAAACTAAAGAAAAAAATTACCTTTGCCTCAGGTGCACAATGTATGGTTTCTCATCAATTGGAATAATATAGGATATCTGTTTCTAGAAAATCCAGAAAAACTGGGAGTGAACACAAATATAATTGAATAAGCGAAACAACAATTTTATATTACTCCCTCCAAGCAATGCTTAAAATGTCTTGATTAAAACATCTCAGTCTGTGTGATTTAAAATCTGCAACATACAAATTCTAAAGACCAAAGGCAGCTGAATGTTTTTTAAATGAGCACAACGCTAGCATCCTGAGGTTTCAGCTACATAGATGTATTTGGTTACCAGTAGGTTTGTGAAATTGGTTCTTTGTATGGGGGAAAGTCCTTTGTCACACACCTAGATCTTTTCAGAGGTGTTGGAAATTGGCAGCTTCGGGTACTCTCAGCCTAGATTGATACTTGTCACACCCCAGATAAAATGCACAATATTTTATAGTTGTACTTTATAAGTGGTAGTTAAATGGAACCATTCAAGCCATTTTTATAGTTGTTTATAGTTTTTATAGCACAACATAACTAAGAACTTCTATCAAATAATCCTTCAGTAAAATGCGAATGGTTTACTGCCCGTGATGAGCAAAAATGAGTATTTATCATTGGACTTACTTGAATAATTATAACGAGATTCAATGCCCACATGTTAAGAGTCCAACGGGCCATTACCTCCAATGCTGTTTTCACCCTTTTAGAGCAAGTCACATGCAGGGAGTGTGAACATTGGGGTGGTTTATTATCCAGGCTGCCTTACCCTCAATCTGCTCACAGATGACCATTTACTAATGATTTTATATTTCTTAAGAGACATGGGACAGGAAAATGAAGTGTTTGCTCTTTATTTACTAAATGATTATAAACTCAAGTTTTTCATCAAAATAAAACTCCATTGCTGTAATGTTTTTAAAAATCTTAGCATGTATCTACTACATAATATGTTCTATTTCCACACAAGTAAGCCCAGGAAGGGATTTATACAGTATTAGAAGTCTACATGTAACTGAATTTCAAGCTCTTCAGGAAGAAGAGCCCACGTGCTGTGCGGTGAGGTCCACTCAGCTGGCCTCCCTGGGATGATATCTACATCAGTGGAGCACAGTAGGCACAAAAATTATTTTAACCATTTCCTAAAAGGTATTGCCTATATTTTTCAACAGAAAACTCTTGAACAAAATTTGGTATTCTTTTTGACTCTATCACCACTATTCTCAAGTTAAAACATGGATGGCAATAAGTTCTAATGTCAGTAGGTCGGTGAACCTGAGCAAAGAGATTTTTCTCCAACAAAAGATAACATGTGAAAAACAAGAGTTGAAGTATCATAGAAAAAAAACTTAGCTGAAGAATATAAAAACCAATATGCACAAATACCAGGACACAGAAAAAGATAAGCCTTCCAGAAACTGTGACAATAAAAAGCAACCGAAACACTATACAAATAAAAAAATACAATAAGGCAGACTGTTAAAGGGTCTAATAAGTGGTCAAAAAAGGAGCAGGAAGGTTACCGCCACCAGTGATAAGTCAAGTTAATGTCAGGCATCCCCTGCCGTGCCTGCTGGAATGAGAAGAGCACTTCGTCTCTACTGTAATCTTCTCTAAAACTCAACCCCAGCATGACCATGAGAAATCCGGACTGAGAGATGTTGTACAAAATTACTTTCAAGATCATGAAAAATAAGAAAGACCAAGAAAAAGGGCACAGGAGACCAGGGTTACATAATGACTAACTGAACTGCAATGCCCTGAATGGAATCCTAGAACAGAAAAAGCACATTAGTGGAAAACCTGGTGAAACCAAAATAAAGCTAATAGTACTGCATTAGTGTTAATTTCTTAGTTTTGACAAATGTATCAACACAGTTATAAAAGAGGGTAACTTTAGGAGAAAGTGAGTAAACATGTATGGGAACTCTCTGTAGCATCTTTGTAATTTTTCTGTAAATCTATCATTATTCCAAAAATTTTTGTTTATTTTTAAAATCAAAACCAGAGATGAATTGAAGAAAGAAGTAAAATGTGTCTGTGGCAGATACTGGGCGGGCCTGATCAGGTGACTAGATCTTCATCTCTTGGGGTTCTAGGCTGCCAGTTAGTTGCCAGGCTACACTTGCTATACATTCTCATTTACAATTAAAACTCACCTGGGGGCTGTAAGAAAAGCCCCAGTGGATCACCTGAAGGCCAAATACTTGCCTCCGTGCCCTCCCTAACTCAGCAGCACCCCAAGTCCTCCTGATGTCATAGTAAATCATCCTGCCAATACGGCAATTTCATTCCTTTCTTTTTCTTGCAGTTCTGTGACACAGAGCCAAAATAACCACAAGGCAGCTGTAGCTCTAGATTTAGAGGGAGGTTTACTATGTTCCCTGGCAGAAGCATCTAAGATCCAGAACCCTTATACCCTCAGCGCATACAATTGGAAGAAATGGATCAAACACAGTCTAGAAAGTAACAGTGAACAGGAGCACTTCCACCACTTCGTGGTCCTTGAATAACAGCCACTTGTCTCATGTATAGACTATACTCTAGTATGTCATTCCTTGCAACTGCTACTTCCAAGCTGGAGTTTAACTGCATTTAAGAGACCGATCCTTTACTTTATCAGGCTGGCTCCTCCTCGTTGATGACTTATGTAACAGGGATCAGTGGGTCCCATGGTCATTTACCCACTACCACATTTTATTTGCCATGAAGCAGAGCCCTTGATCTTATCCCAGGTCAACAGACCAGACATACAGTGAAATGACGGGTAACAGTGCTGGCCAATACACTGCAGAGGCTGATGCTGGCCTAGTCACTGTGGACAGGACAGGCAGACCATGCCCACAAGTATGTGTCAGGAATAGGAAGCACAAAGCCTGGCTCCTTCCAGAATGGAAAGAGTCTAATGTAATCAACATGAAAACAAACAGAAGGTGCCATTATCATCAGGGGCTGAGCATCGATCTCTATTGCTAATAGATCAGACATTCAAAGTGGCAGTGATCGCTGCTTTGGTGAAGGAGAGCCTGAGTTGTTGGACATGTGCGCAGCCTTCTTCTCTACCTCCACGGCTGTCTCATTCGTCCATCTGTGCAAGCACTGGGGCAACCAAGGACAGAGGCTGACTTCGCTCTGATGGATGGACCATCCACCACTCGCTTGTTTAATGACTCTTCCGCAGTAAGTGCTCTCTGGTGTGTATTCACACATAACACAAGATCTCTACAGTTTTTACCAACCGTCATAAGTCCAGTCACATGCCTCTGCCCCAGATCCCTCAATCTAATCTTCCAATTGTGTTCTTTCTAGGGCCTGACAAAACAGGCAAACCATTCACCACAGCCCGTGAGTCTCTGCAGGTTTTTTGTCTTCTGTAGTGAGAAGGCCTACGTCCTTCTCACTACAAAGTGGACTATCAGGTGCACCACCTGAGGCTCTCCCACTGAGAGGATTTCCCCTTCCACTGTCTGTAGGAGCCAACACTGACCAGAGGGGTAGAGACACAAGAATCCAGTTTTTCTTCGTACCAATATACCAGCTACTTCGTTAATGAGCCAAGTTCAGTTTATATTTTCTTCTTTCATAACATACTCACAGGGACCCCTCATGAGTCCACAGGTATGAGCTCAGAGAGGTATTTATGCCACAACAGTGGATGACATGAGGATCTACCTAGTCATGCAACTTACTGGTGCCCTCCAGGCCTACTCAGTCCCCGCCTCAGATGTACTGACCTTGGGCCCAGTCCATTTCATGACCTGGTGAATCTAATAATGTGTCTAGAATGGGGAGTTCAGGTTGCACAGTCATTACTCTCTCATGGTCATATTCCACAGTATTTTTCAAAAAACAAGCAGCATACCAGGAGCTGCTTTTTGAATGATACATATGTATTTGATGAAGACAATATAGCCTTGCTCCGTAAGCCCAAAATTCTGCACCAGAACTCTCCTATTGGGGCTTGCCTGAGACTTTGCATGGCACCCATTTGTACCATAAATACTTCTAGGGCCATGGGTCTGCTGGTTCATATAGCTCAGGCCACAGGGATGCCAATACTGCAACCTGGATCTGCCCTTGAAACTGGAAGTCTTTTAAACCATTCAATAAATGAGTCAGGGTAACATTTCCAAGTAAAAATTTGCTGTCACTAAAACCAAAAAAGGCCTATCAGGTGTTGTGGCTCTTTCTTATTGACAAAAGGCACAAAATATAGCTAGTCTTTATTTTGGAGGGACTGCCACAGCTGCCACCACCCTCTAGACCCCTCCACATATCACTGAGGCATCAAGACCCTGAATCTTCATGGGGTGCACCTCTCCCCCTCTGGAGGGCATGTATTGTACCAGGATATCAGGAGTACTTGCCATTTTTTGTGAGGTCTAATTAACTGTATGTAACTGGTCTAGTGAACCAACATGATGATCTTTGAAATGTCCAGATGACCCAGATTCCTTTTACTATGTTATGACAGAGAACAGATATAGTGAAATCATGAATTTAAAGAGTTGTCCAACTCAGGTAAATGTGAAGGTCTCCTGATATTCTTCATGAGATGTTGAAAACTCATCAGCCAGGCTGACAGCACTTAACTTTTGAAATCTTGGAATTCTTACGACTATGTCCTGGGCGTCCAACAACGTAAGTCCTTTAGCTACAAAAGATGAGGCTCAGGTCCTCTGACATTCAAGCTTCACTTTAAACTAATGATTAAGTAGCATGAGCCTGTAGTTTTCTCTTTTCATTGAATTATTGATACTGATCAATTCCACCATCCTCGTAATTACTGTTTCCCCTGTAACTGTCAGACACATGAACTACTGCACTAGCCAGTACATCTATTCCATTTATTTACCATCACCAGTCACTACAACAAAAAGTCTTGGTAATTTCACTGCTACACATTTCAGAGATTACCAATATTCCATCTGCCACTAGTCACAAGGTCCTCATTACCAACTAAATTGTGGGTAAAGTGCCTCCAGGTCCTGTTTTTAGAGTTGGCTTCCTAGAACCACCGTTTCTGGTACCAACTGTCTTAGCTGAATTCACAAGAAGCTAAGTCTGAAA